AACTAGAGAACAGAAATATGCTTTATTGGCTGTTTAGACAATGTTTTTTCCTAACAAATAGTTCCTCAAAATCGAACTTTCGAAGAAATTTTGTTTCCTAAATTCAAGATATTTAAATCCACAACAGAATAAAAAGCTGGGTGTTGCTCTGATTGAATATCTGAGATAGTACATTACAGTTGTGTGGTTTATATAGTTTGATAGTTTCGAACAAGTAATATTCATAAAAGATTGTCGTATTTTATCTTATTTCCGCAAGACTTGGTGAAATCAGCATAATACATAATGACACCCACTATATGATGAAGTCATACATATATTAGATATGTTTAGGAAGATTGATATTTGCATTCAAAAAATTCTATTGACAGGATTAGTGTGGATAGAACGCTGATAGGAATTTATGTTTCCTTTTTCTTCTTTTCTTATAAACTTCCAGGGTGATGTGAAAATATTTTTTTTCGATTCCTTATTCCTTCGCTCTATCACAACTGATCGAATTTCGACCGAATCTACTTCTCTAGAATTCCATTATTCCTAGATTTTTTTAAGAAAAGGTTTAACTGTTCAACTTTTCTGTTTTTTTTTAACTAAAGTATTTAGATCAAACGTATTTCCGTCGAGTCTTGTCAAATTCTGATGGATCCTATCGATTTCAGCCAAATTACAAGCAAACTCTATGCATTAGATTTCGACGATCTCGATCGATTAAAAAATGACTTATGGAATTCCTCGATTCGACACCTTTTTTGAGCTGACAGGCGAGGTACAAGTACTATATTCTTCATGAACAGATTTTATGAATCATATGCTTCACTCATCTACTAATCAGAAACCCTAGAACTTCTATACAAAATCGCTTTCCAAGTACTATTTCGAGAAAGTTCGTAAAGATTGTTCAGGATTATATAGATAAAACATACAAAAATAAATAACTTTATATCAGTGAAATAGATATGACTTCTGACGTTGCTTTTAATTGTAGCATTTGCAGTGCAAGAAAAACTAGCTCATATTAATATAACAAGCTATCCGATCCAATCTGGTTTTTCCTACTAGTGCTGAAGAGGAAAATCCTCTGTCGGTTTTAAGTCAGTTGTAGTTGTTTGACTTATTTAAATTTATTTTTCTATTTACAAATTTTCTATTTTCTAGTAATTAAAGTTGAAAAACTTTACTACTGTTAATGAAATGACCGTTTCTTAATTAATTACTAATAACTCTAGCGGTGACCGTTAATATATTATTTTACTAGCTTTGTGACCTATTTCCCGAGCTATTTGATCGGTAGCTATTTTAGATTTCTCGATTCGGTGGCGACAGTTTTAGTATGATCTGTATATATGTAATCTTATTCAGTATTTTATGTATCTATCATCTTAGAATATACATGATCTAAGTATACCAAAGGAGAATATGTAGGAAATAACGGTTCCTTGTCTATACGAATACAGCGACCTATAAAATTTGTACTAAATGATATGTAAGTAAGTAATCGAAAATTTTCGAAAGGATATCAGCGAGCAAGATCAAAAATTTACTCCTCCCTTAGATTACATTTTGATAGGTTAGAAATATAGAGTATGAGATTCTGCACATGTTTCTACATTCTAATTTTATTAAGTGCAAATGAAATTTTTCATGATGAAATACTCTAAAAGTGTTCATCATTTCTAATTCTTTTGAATAAAAACTTTCGAAATTAATTTTTTCTCTTACACACATAATATCTGGGTTCAAATTCGACCTGCTTTTTTTCTGTAAATCATATAGTTTAGATTCTATCCTATATTTCGATTAATTTTTCTATTCTAGATGCATTTTGCCCAAAACAAAGATGCTCAAAAATTATTCAATTTTATTCAGTATAAATTTTACTCTTTAAGAAAAATTTAAGCAGAAAGTTAACTCAAGTTATCATTGACACATCTATAATAACAGAAATTTTTTCTATCAACCTACTAAATTTATCAAAATGCTAATAATGATTGATGCAATAGATATTATTAGATCTCTGAAATAAATCAGCTCTTTTTTAACTATAACTTCGTTACTTCAAGTTGATATGCTTATCCTATATGTTTATTCGCACAGACTGTCAACAATGTATCCAAACAGCTTCCTTGTCGTCAAAGAATAGTTCTCCAGTTTCATCTTTCGTATCTTTCTATACAAGATGTGTAATCTAAATTTTTTTAACTTTTGAAAGACTTCGCTTGAAACTAATGTATTTTTTATACCCTGAAGACCAGACGTCATTATCTGTCGAAAATAGGTGAATGTTTGTGAAACATAGACAGTGTGCATATCTATGTGCAACAATCAAATAACTAATATTAATTAACTGATACTCACACCGAAACGATGCTTTTTAAATCGCAGTTGAATCGGTTACATAGTATGAACTACTAGTCTTTTTCAGACGACTTACTTTAAAGTTAACTATCAAACATATTTATTCATCTATCCATAACTATCCAGATAATTGATTTCTGCACCAATTCATGCATGCTTGAAGCTTATATGTAACTTGCTGCTATTTTTAAAAAATATCCTTTAGGGTATCATGTCAACTAATTAGAAAATCAAGCTAGGTAGGAACTCAGAGCACTAGATTTTTCTACCTTTGAAACGCAAAGAACAATATTTCCTTTTTGAATTATAGAATTCAGAAATGTATTAGATACAATGTCTTCTAGGATGTTCGACGCAAACGATTCTCTTTCAGAATCAAGAACTATCGAACCAGTTCAGTGTTTCTTGAGATATGCACGTCAGCAAATATGAATATACTGAGAGGTGAATCCAAGTTCAGGATTGAATAATTCTGAACATCATTGTCTCCTTTCTTAGAATGTTCATTATTCTGAAGTCTCTGTATTGTTTGTTTCAATAAAATAAATATAGATCTACCAGGTTTGACACAGAAATCTTTTTATTGGCTTTCTTCTGCTTCATTTTATTATTTACCAAGAACTGAGTGTCTTAAATATGATATACCTTTCCAAATAAAATATCCTTCAAAGACAATTTATGTGCCGCTTTAGTGGTGTGAAAAGTTTCACAAGATCATTCGCTGTTATAATTTATTTTCATTAGTTAAAAATAATGTGATTGAAATCTATTTCATTATCATATATTCATCTTGTAAAATGCTCACATATCCGAAGTTTTTATACGGTATACTGCAGAAATAATCTATCAACAACAAATGGACACATTTCATTGTGTTGTAACCAAATGAAATGATAATTTTTCCTAGTGACAGAGAAAACAATTAAGCTTTTATTCATCCATAGAAAGTTTAATACTATCGCTAAAAACTATTATTATCTAAGTAACAGAGAAAAAAACAATCACTATTCTCTCGAAAATAAACGACAGATTATAGGTTTCCACGGTCTCTATGCAAATCTCTCATCGTTTTAATTTCTCAATAATATATTTAAATTCTTGAGTTTTTGTCAACTGATTTACCGTCCTGAGAACTTCAACGAGTCTTATTGAATGTTCTTGCACAAAAAGGCTTAAAGCTACTAATAACAGCGCTAGAATTTAGTGCATTTGGATGTCTATCGAATAACCTTCGGTAGGAACAAGTTAGAGACCTACGGTTTTCAGCAATCGATAGAAGATTATAGAGGTTACGTTTTTATATAAAAATCAAGGTTTAAATAATCAGGCACAAAAGGAGTGGTTGTTCAATCATCGACATAATAGGTCCGTTATTTGGTGAAATCTTAGCAGAGCAAGCTAAAACTTTCAGTATGTTTAGCCCGCCTGTAGTCCAATCTTCTGGAAAAATATCATCCAGAAATCTTAATGACAAGGAATCGTGTTATTAATGATGATCTGGTTTTACATAAAAGCTCTCATTCACTCAATATATTAGGAAATGACCTCAACTTTTCACTAAATATCATACTTTAGACTTCAAATTTGTACAACTCTATCATAGGTTGATTAAATGAACGAGGAGAGACGATGAAAACGTTACTAAGTCCTGCATTTGTCTTCACATATTTGAGAAGATTTGTTTTAAAAAATTTGCTCTATGAACATCGTTTGTTCGTCGAATTTTAACTGTTCCCGAGCACTTCTAAGACCGAATTGCAATTTTATTGCATAGAGATGAAGTCTAAATTATGATATTTATTCAATCAAAAGTCGAAGTCATTTTCTAATATATTGAGTGAATGAGAGCTTTATGTAGAACCAGATCATGATTGATACACGATTCCTTGTCATAAAGGTTTCTGGATGATATTTTTCCAGAAGAGTGAGCTACATGGGGCTCAGGGTTGGAACCGGTAAGCAAAAATTAAAACGGTCCGGTCCGGCCGGTTGTTAATCATTTCTGAACCGGTGAAATTCCGACAAACCGGTCAATTTCCGGTCAAGCTTACCGCTTTAAAATGGTTCCAAACATCCGAAAGTACGGTAAAAATTGATAAAGTTATTTCTAGTTATAAATTGAATTATCTAATATTTAGATAACACGGTGGCAACAATATGATTTAGCTCCTCGTATCATAAGTACAGAAAACTGAAATCGACCTAGGAATAGGTTTTTTGTATAAACATATCTTAGAAAATTTCAATATTCCTACGTGAGAAAATATTATTTGACTTTTTAAGAAACTTTTAGAAAATATATGCATAATCTTTACAATCATGAATCATCATCATTTTTTCAAAAGGATATAAAGACTTTCCTAACTGATTTACATAGTACTGCCTGGTCTATTTCAAAACTTGAAATCCGAAAGAGAAAAAAAAGCATAAAATAGTTTTTTTTAATGTTCTGCTCCTCTAATTCAAAGACAAGATGTATATATGTTCAAATTTTATTGTCAAATTATCTTTTCGTAACCATACATAAAAAAGTAACAAAAGTAAAAATATAAGATATACAATTTCATGAAACAATGATTAACGAAACAAAAAAGTAATTGTTGAGTCTATCTTTATTAATGAAATGGTCAAGAATGTTCGTACTATCATACCACCGTTGGCCACATTTTATTTATATAAGCTTCTTTGAGCACCACGAGAGTTTCTACATAATTAGGATCGAGTGAACTTCGAAGCTCCGTGACAATTTGCCCTGCAATCGAAAAATGACGTTCACTCTCGGCCGACAAAGCAGGAATCACCAAGACCGATTTTGCAATTTGAGCAAGAAACGAAAGATCATCTTTATGATTACGCCAAAATATAAATGGATTGTTGTCGTAATTATTATCGATTTCCATACTGTCATATATTTGAATTTGTCGATCCAGCTCTTTTTTCAATGCCGATTGGTCACAAATCGATGTATTTTGTGTGGTTCTTTTATTACGAAAATCAGCAAATGGATCATCTTTCATTCGCTTTGATGGTGGTGAATTATGAAATGAATCCTGTGACGATGGATGATTATTCGAATGATGGACAATATCGGATGCCAAAATATGAAGACCTTTTCGGACTTGTTTCTTCTGAATTTCAAAATATCAGCTATCTGAAACGAAGAAAAAAGATTTCAATGATGGATCTAAATACGTACCAATCCAATGAATTTGTAAAATAGAAGGTAAATATTTCTCATCAAGACACGATCGTATTTCGGATTTTAATTCATTAATAATTTTATGATCATTAGTATTAACTTGAACATCATTTAACATACGATAATAGCTAGGCACCACGTTTTGCAACGTAGGTTGATCGGCTATCTCGAGCTTGTCAAAAATCATTGAAAATGGACGCATCAATTTAACAATTTCGTTCAATAAAACAGGATCGATGTTGAATAATCTGTATTGTTCTTCCCTTTCACGTAAGATAATATTAAGTTCTTCAAATGAATTGTTTAATGAATCATGAATATCAAAATATGATCGCCAAGGGCGCGTGCCACAACCACCTTTAAGTGTTTCCGGTAATTTATCTTGAATACCAGTTGTCTGGTTAATATACTTACGTATATCACGAACTGTAGCATTGAACATAGCAAATGTTGGATTTTTTGCATCTTCTCTATTCCAGGCAGTTTCAAGAGTAGTATTGCAACGGTGTGCCATACATGGAAGACGAGCTTCCTGAGTGATATTAAAAGCTGCAATCATGTTACTTCCTTGATCAGTGACAATTGGTGTGTCACCGAACGACAAATTAAAAGATTCGAAAATAGATTTGATTTCTTGCCAAATATTGATACCTGTTTTACTATCTTCAGAAAAATGCTTGCAACGTAATAAGCAATGTGAAAGTTTGAAATTGTCGTTGGTCCAAAATACTGTAAAATCAATATAACATCGTTTAATGCAGTCGTCAGTCCACGTGTCGCATGTAGCAGCAACACAGTGATTTTTGATTGGTTCATCGAGTACTTGTCGAATTGTATTTGAAAAATGATTGAACTTTGTTATAGTTTCATTACGAATCGTCTTTCGGCCGTAAAATATATCACGAATATCCACCATACCCATTGTGGCTCCAATATTAATGGCAGTTTGAGCCAGTTCCAGAACACCATCATTTTCAAGTGCATTAAATGAATGACTTCCAACGGTCACGAATTTTAGTTCTGCATCTTTCAATTGCTTTTGCAAATGTTCATGCAATTGGTTTTTGTTATATGCAAAACGAGGCATTAACGTCTGAACAGGAGCTGATTGTTTTTGTATTGCACTTGTCGCCGTTGAAGTTGATGATGAAGTTTTGTTAGAGCGTACGCGACATTCCTTGACATGTGCATGTAATGATGTTAAGCAATAGTTTTTTCGATTTTCGGTAGCACCTTTCTTTGAATGAGTTCGATAGGCTGTTAAACAATGTTTACAAACAGTCCACCCATCAAATACTTGTTCTTTTCCGTCATTGTCGATAACACCCACCAAAGAAATATCATTCATCCAAAGCTCATGGGTGGCTTTGGGATTGTTCATCAGAATAAATTCCTTAGCTCGTAATTTGCGTTGTATCTGTCCCGATGACAGATTATCAGGATTAATCATTTTTTTAAAACAACTGGACAAACAATTAGTAATGAGATTATTTTTCACTTCAAGAAAGTGATTAGGTCAAAAGAGAGCGAAAGTAGAATAAACAGAACAAGTGACCTTTATATCATTATAACTAGAAGAAAAAAACAAATCGAACAAAACAGAACAAAACATGTCCCATTATCTATAAGATATTAGGCATCCATCATTGAAAGTGATACATTATCTAATGTTCGTTGGTTTTTCTTTCTGATAAAACATATGCCTAATTGTCTTCGTGTCTATCATAGTATTACAATCATCGCGATAAATATCGATTATAAGCTGAACAAAATTTTTAATATTGGCACTATCGAAAGACTTTCTGGACATATATGTATAATGATAGAGAATTTGTTCTACTTCATAGCAAAATACATAGTTTCTCTTACCGAATAAGAGCTAAGTAAAGATAATATTTTTTAAACTTAAACCGGTAAATTTCCGGTATTTACCGGCCCGGTTGACTTACTAAACCGGGCCGGTCCGGTACTGGTTCCAACGCTGATGGGGCTAAGCATAGTGGAAGTTTTAGCTTGTTCTGCAAAGATTTTCCCAAATAACAAACCTATTCTTTCAACGATTGAACAATCAGGAGTGTGGGTATGGGGCCTGAGATGTAGCATTTCTCTCTACTTATATCTACACTACATCCTCATTCTCATAAAATATAAATGTGCACTGAATCCGATCCAACTAATACTTCAAGCTATTTTTCAAAGCACTATAAAAAGTTATTCTATCATACATATTCAGATTTGTCTTACTGGAGATAACACTAAACTAATTACTTCTCAAATAACTATGATACGATGTTGATAAACATTGAAATATTTTATCCAACAATACCACATATTTTTATCATGAAAAAAGTAACATTCAACGTAACACATGAAACTTGAATATAATCATTCAATACATGAATAATTATCATTTTTCATGTAATACATATATTAAACCAAAATATCAAAAGGGGAACCCACTCACCCGCTCGTATATGGCTATTTTATTACATACTTTTTTGAACAATGATCCCTTTGTCCCTCTTTTCTCCACTTCTGTTAACAAATTCAATAACCAATCACATAGAATATTATATAAAGGGCGTTACATACTGCTCGCTGCTATCATACAAAAATAAAATAACAAAAAAATTTCTTCTACCTCTACATTTATTATACTATGCCATGATGACCCCAATTCTCTTTTCATCTCTCTCATTTTACCATCGCCACTTTTTCACACAGACACTCACAACACTACATCTCCAACACAATCGAATCGGAGATGTCGGAGCACAACATCTCGCT